TGAAGCATGATAATATCTTACCCTAGGATGCTGCCATTGCCATCCGGGAATTTCTTAAATTGATTTCTACCTCGCTGGAATAATTTTTGTTTCCTTCTCCTTTATTTGGAAAATAGAATACAAAAGTAAGATCTAACCCAACCATGCAGTGGCTTATTTGGCCTAACAGTAGTATCACAAACTCTACCCTTCATGCCACAAGGAAAATGCTAACGCATCCTCTGTCTTCAGTAGTAAAGCTCTGAATTAGACAGTCTTGGAGTTGGAATAGCAATCAAAGGCTCCGATTTCTTTATAACAATCCCAAATTTTTCAGTTAAGTTCAGTTCTGCGCCATCTGGTAATTTCCACTCAAACGAGTGCAACAATGAAGCCAATATGAACATCAAAACCCTCTCTGCTAGAGGAATCCCTGCGCACATTCTCCTCCCAGAACCAAATGGCACATACTTAAAATTGTTTCCCAAGTAATCAAATTTCTCAGGATCATCCAAGAACCTCTCAGGTTTAAATTCCAAAGGATTTTCCCAAAGCGCGGGATCTCTATGAATCGCCCAAACGTTCAACATCACCCTCGTGCCTTTTGGTATAGTATAGCCACCGATTGTGCTCGATTGGCTTGGAGAGCGAGGTACTAGAAGAGGCAGAGCTGGGTGCAGACGTAATGTCTCTTTCACAACAGCATCTAAATACCTTAATTCCCGCAAGTGAAACTCTTCAACTGAGCTGAACATGCCAACAACTTCTGCTAATTCTTGCTGAACTTTCCTCATTATTTCCTGGTGTTGCAGCAGCTCTGCCATTGTCCATTCCACCATCGTTGTTGAGGTGTCTGTTCCTCCCACGATTATATCCATCAGCAATGCCTTCAGTTGGATGATGGTAATAGAGTTTTCTCTATCTTCATGTTCCTTGAGGTCCAAGAGGAATTGCAAGAAGTCCTTTTGTTCATCGTTCACCATATTGGTACGCTGTTCAATAGCAGAATAAACAATCTTTTCAAACCATGAAAGAATATGCTTCGTTTTCCTTTCTATTCCTTGAATATCAAGCCATGAAAGCACCGGAAAAATGTCTGAAAGATTTGGAGTTCCTAGCAACACCATCAATTCTGCAAGCATCTTTCGAAGCTCAACCCCAAGATTTGTCCCTTTCTGTCCCAACTCAAAACTGGCACCCCACAGCATGTTCTGGACTACATTGATCGAAGTTGCAGTTGATAATTCACCAATGTCTACCGTCTTCCCAATTCTGTTGCAATACACATCTCTAATAGTATTCTTAATCTCTCGTTTTCGCAGAGTGTAGCAGGCATCAATGCTTGCATTACTCATCATCTTGCCCACAAATATTTTGCGCAACTTTCTCCATTTAGCACCATAGGGGCACCAACCGATATCGTTTGCATCATATGTGATCGCCCTTGCAGCGATGGATGTATCACGGTTAGCAAAAACTATATCATTGTCACGAACCACTTCCTTAACCAGCGATGGCGAGCTCACGACAACACATAATTTGTTTCCGAGCCAAAGCTTGTAGATAGGACCATAGACTTCTCCCAATTCTGTGAATTTCCTGTGAAGATGAGTGCCCAGGAAAGGAAGGTATCCGACTAGAGGCAAGCCACAGGGACCTGGTGGCAGTGTAGCATTAATATTTCTTGATTTCTTGACTTTCCACGACAACCAGATCACAGCCAGCATCCCAACTAAAGAAGTGAGAATCGCCATGAAATCCATCTTAGAATTTAGAATCTGTGAATGAAGAGAAAAATGCCTTGACTATAGAATTGTTTAACTAAAACAAGCTCTTAGCAAAGTAGAAAATGTTCGATAAGAAGGAAGTTTGTTGGTGTGTGGTGATATCCTGATACTTTTCTAGCTTTAATGGTTCATATTAAAACAGTTCTCTTCCTCCAGAAGATATCTTTTCTAGTGGACAGCATTTTGTTTCGTTGATGACCACAGTAATTGCCTTTGGCTTTATCATATATGCAAGGTAAAGGAAAACCAATTCAAGCAATTTTCTCTAGATATTTTAAGAAATACTTAATTGACAAACAAAGTATACTCTTCAAGTGAATTACGTATCTATGTTGTGTTACGGTATTTTCTGAAAAGCTTTAGAAACTATATATTTTGTCTTTTGTTTATCTTTTCATCTAAAATGACAGTGGAGACTCACCTTTTTTTTTTTTTAGAGGACTTGGAGCATGATGCCATCTTACCCCATGATGCTCTTTAAGTGAATTACCTATGAGAAACAAAACTTTATGTAATGCGCCCTTACAGATTTGCTCAACATGATATATTGTCTTTTCTTTTTGATAAGAAACTGTTAAACTATATTGAAGAAAGATTAAGAGATAGGTATATCTGTAAAATAAGGTAATTGATTATGTGCCTTTTGGAATAGTTGAGTTACCAAATTTATTGGGGTCGTTAATTCTATCTTGTTTTCACTTTCAATCTTAATAATGTATGTTTTTTGTAAGGATTATTGGCAAGTACTGGCTATCTGATAAGGAACCCATACACAAAAGAAAGGTTTTTGCCTTGGAGAAGTTATTAGTTGGTAAAATTCATAAGCAGGCATAGAGTATGTCTTTTGAAACACTGGTATGTCAATCAAACTTTCATGGAGGAGATCTTCCTAAATTGAACTGAAAGACAAAAATAGTAATTATTTTACGTAAAAATAAGAATGTTGTTAAGTACACCCACTCATTTACTAAGTTTCGCTTATTATAAATTTTATTACAATTTTGTCCTTTAAATGGGGCCGACTAATAAAATCAATGGTGTTCGAGAATCTCTTATATATATATATATAAGGTTACGGGAAATGACTTTTAGCTCCCATCTTCCATTGTAAGTGAAAAAAATTATTCTTCTTTCTCCATCGTTTAATTTCAAAGCCTTATATTTACAGTTCACCGAAAAATAAATGAAATTTAAGTCTATAAGAATTGACAATTTTACAAGTAAATTGAAGCTCATGGTAATTATCAAAATTACTTAATATTTCTTATTCACGACATGAATTAATCTTTTAGATCTTAATCCTTTTAGGCCTAAAAGCAAACTAATCTACTGTTGAATATTCGTTCAAAGAGTTCTTTATTAATTTATTTCTTCTTCTTGTTTCTTTTCTAAGTTTTATATTTGAGAAAACTATTGCAGATCTTATTATTTAAATGGAAAACTGTTTATGTAACTAAGAAATTACTAGAACTTGAACCATCCAAGTTATTTCAACTAGTCCATCGAGGTCTTAAAGTTAACGATTAGATAAGACTTTAGTGACTACCATTTATTAGTAGTCATGGAGATTCAAACTCGGGACTTCTTAAATAATATATTTAAGAGTCTCAAGTGAACCGTCAAGCTACTTAGAAGTAGTTAATAGGTTAATTATTTTTTTTTAGATCTGAGTTCGTTTTATGTTTTAGTATCTACAAAGTTGTCAACTTAAAAAACACCTCAAAAACAATATAAATTTTCCTACAATTTTTGAATATGTATAAGAACTATTTTAAATAGTATTATACTCCTATCTAAGGTAGAAGATGGGGATAAAGATTAATATATATACATATATGATGTTACCCATACCATAAATTATTCCCAAATGCCCAATGTGAGTAATAAGAGGAAATGGGTTATATGGGCTCAACTCTGAAAATCCCAAGAAAGCCCAAAAGAGGAAATTCACAAGAATTGCAAGAGAGCTCAATATACATGAGCAGTATAAGGTTACTCTCAGAAAGTGTACTTAGGAGTCGGGCTCAATTAAATGGCAGTGGGCTTGGGTCTCCAAATTAAATAGCAATTGGGCTCAATAGTATAAGCTTACGATTTTTGTATAATAATGTTAAACACATTTATTATTAGAAGATAACATATTACCGTGAAGGACAAATCAGTTTTTTTTTTTGTGTTGCAGTAGTAGCAGTTTTGTGTCATTGAAGTTTTGTGTTAAGTTGAAATGTGGTAATCTGAAGTAGTAGTAGTGATGGTGAATCAATATGGAAAGGGTGTGTTGAAGTGGAAATGGTAGTTGAAGTTGAATATGGAAAGGGTGTTTTTGAAGTTGAATTGACTGCTCTGTAATTGAGCTGCTCTGTAGTTGAAGTGGCTTTTATTGAGTTGCTCTGTAGTTGAAGTGGGCTTTGTAGTTGAAGTGGGCTCCGTAATTGAGCTGCTCTGTAGTTGAAGTGGCTTTTATTGAGCTGCTCTGTAGTTGAAGTGGCTTTTAAAATAGTTGTTTAAGTGTTGAAGTTGCTGTTTTGCTGAAGCATTAAAATGAAGTTGAAGTTGTTGTTTTGCTGCATTGAAATGACTGCAGTTTACAATTTGTTGAAGATTACTGTTTTAAGTGTTGAAGTTGCTGTTTTGTTGAAGCATTGAAATGGAGTTGAAGTTGTTGTTTTGCTGAAGCATTGAAATGACTGCAAGTGTTGAAGTTGCTGTTTTGCTGAAGTATTGAAATGAAGTTGAAGTTGCTATTTTGCTGATTTGCTAAAGCTATTTTGCTGAAGCATTGAAATGACTGCAGTTCACAAAAAGTGCAGCAAAGAGATAGCAGGAGCAAAGGAGAGTCCAGTTTAAGGGGGAATGTTAACCAAAATATGAAGAAAGGACAAACTATGAAGGTCCTTATTGTAATTTCCTGATATTGTATAAACTCACAGCTCTTAAACTGTGTCGTTTTGGTTTTGCTCAGTTTCCCCTTTGTATAAAACATTCACTGTATGTTCTACTGTTCCGTAACAAAGAGATCAGTTCACGATTTTCAGATCTGTTTCCAGTTTCTGTTTTCGTCAGTTTCATTTTCTTTTTTCATCTGTTTCACTCACCAATGTTTACCGCATTCCCAATTCTGTTGCTATACACATCTCTGATGGTATTCTTAATCTCTCGTTTTCGCAGAGTTTAGCAGGCATCAAGGCTTGCATTACTCATCATCTTGCCCACAAATATTTTGCGCAACTTTCTTCATTTAGCACCATAGGGGCACCAACCGATATCGTTTGCATCATGTGTGATCACCCTTGCAGCGATGGATGCATCACGGTTAGCAAAAACTGTATCATTGTCACGAACCACTTCTTTAGCCAGCGATGGCGAGCTCACTACAACAAATAATTTGTTTCCGAGCCAAAGCTTGTAGATAGGACCATAGACTTCTCCCAATTCCGTGAATTTCCTGTGAAGATGAGTGCCCAGGAAAGGAAGGTATCCGACTAGAGGCAAGCCACAGGGACTTGGTGGCAGTTTAGCATTAATATTTCTTGATTTCTTGACTTTCCACGACAACCAAATCACAGCCAGCATCCCAACTAAAGAAGTGAGAATCGCCATGAAATCCATCTTAGAATTTAGAATCTGTGAATGAAGAGAAAAATGCCTTGACTATAGAATTGTTTAACTAAAACAAGCTCTTAGCAAAGTAGAAAATGTTCGATAAGTAGGAAGTTTTTTGTAAGGATTATTGTCAAGTACTGGCAAACTGATAAGGAACCCATACACAAAAGAAAGGTTTTTGCCTTGGAGAAGTTATTAGTTGGTAAAATTCATAAGCAGGCATAGAGTATGTCTTTTGAAACACTGGTATGTCAATCAAACTTTCATGGAGGAGATCTTCCTAAATTGAACTGAAAGACAAAAATAGTAATTATTTTACGTAAAAATAAGAATGTTGTTAAGTACACCGACTCATTTACTAAGTTTCGCTTATTATAAATTTTATTATAATTTTGTCCTTTAAATAGGGCCGACTAATAAAATAAATGGTGTTCGAGAATCTCCTTTATATATATATATATATATATAAGGTTACGGGAAATGACTTTTAGCTCCCATCTTCTATTGTAAGTGAAAAAAATTATTCTTCTTTCTCCATCGTTTAATTTCAAAGTTTTATATTTACAATTCACGAAAAAATAAATGAAATTTAAGTCTATAAGAATTCACAATTTTACAAGTAAATTGAAGCTCATGGTAATTATCAAAATTACTTAATATTTCTTATTCACGACATGAATTAATCTTTTAGATCTTAATCCTTTTAGGCCTAAAAGCAAACTAAACTATTGTTAAATCTTCGTTCAGAGAGTTCTTTATTAATTTCTTTCTTCTTCTCGTTTCTTTTCTAAGTTTTATATTTGAGAAAACTATTGCAGATCTTATTGTTTTAATGGAAAATTGTTTATGTAAATAAGAAATTACTAGAACTTGAATCATCCAAGTTATTTCAACTAGTCACTCGAGGTCTTAAAGTTAATGATTAGATAAGACTCTAAGGACTACCCTTTATTAGTAGTCACGGAGATTCAAACTCAGGACCTCTTGAATAATACATTTAAGAGTCTCAAGCGAACCGTCAAACTACTTAGAAGCAGTTAATAGGTTAATTATTTTGTTTTAGATCTGAGTTCGTTTTATGTTTTAGTATCTACCAAGTTGTCAACTTAAAAAACACCTCAAAAACAATATAAATTTTCCTACAATTTTTGAATATGTATAAGAACTATTTTAAATACTATTATACTCCTATGTAAGGTAGAAAATGGGGATAAAGATTAATATATATACGTATAAAATGTTACCCATACCATAAATTATTCTCAAATGCCCAATATGAGTAATAAGAGGAAATGGGTTATATGGGCTCAACCCTGAAAACCCCATGGAAGCCCAAAAGAGGAGATTCACAAGAATTGCAAGAGAGCTCAATCTACTTAGGAGTCGGGCTCAATTAAATGGCAGTGGGCTTGGGTCTCCAAATTAAATGGCAATTGGGCTCAATAGAATAAGCTTACTATTTTTGTATAATAATGTTAAACACATATTTGTTATTAGAAGATAACATATTACAGTGAAGGACAAATCAGAAATTTATTTTAATTATGAATATTGTAAAATTTTCATTAAAAAGGGGCTACATTTTTTTTTTTAAATTTCAAAATTAATACTAATTTAAAATCACTTTATTATGATATATATATATTTTTTTAAATTGCCTAATAAATTTTATTTTTTAAATGTTGACCACCTTGAGGGACGGCTAAGGGTTGGTTACACCCTTTTTCGAGCGGGTTTAACTTCATAGTTATATAAATATCTACATATTGTATGTTGAAATGATTTTGGACTTAATGAAATGTGTCCCCTAACAAATTTATGAGAAAATAGGACCCTAGAAGTATATTTTTATATAACTTGGGCATAATTTATAAACACAATTGTGGAGGACCTAAATACATCTAAAAGCTAATTTTCAGCTGATTTATCTACAAATCATAGTGCCCACAAATTTTCATGTAAAAACTGATTTCTAGTCTTTCTATCAAGGGTCGTTAAATTATAAAATCATGAGAACATTTCTCTTTGTATTGATAGAACAACAACAATAATAACACCATTAGACTTGTACATAATAATAATACATAAACTTATAATGTTGAACAATATACTTCTGAAAATAAGACAATAGACAATAAATGCATGGATAGGCCTTTTCAAATTTGAAAACCATCCATGTCCTAGAAAGCCTTGGGCCAATAGTAGTGAGCTTTAATCATGCTGCATACGTCTCATTAAGAAGTGATAGATTGCCACTGGCTATGCCATGTACATTAATTTAGTAAGAAATTTGATAGACAGTCTTGTCTTTTAACAATTTTTATTTTTATTTTTTCATGGTAAGACAGCTTAATCAGTGTTAAAATCAAAATGAACAAACAATAACGATTATAATAAATAGAGAGACTTATATTGAAAATGATGAGTCATTTTTATTAGCAAAAATAAAAAAGAAAGTTTAATAAAAGAAAATTAATTCATCTTTATTAGAAATGGGAAACTTTTCAAACCCCTTATACTTTGTCCTCAGTACATTAAGGTCTATCAAATTCAAAAACTCAATACAAGTGCTTCTTGTCATCATAGGCTTAGAAAAAGTTAAAGGTTGCTTCATCTTTACACATAGCTTCTTTGAAACTCAGGCCGTTCAATTCATGGGTAGTTGGCAGCAAGCTCATCCATTTCTCTCTGCAAATCAAAAGAGCCAATGGTTAAATAACATAACATCAGCCAAAAAAAGGTTCAAGGGTATGGCTGATCACCTGAACAGACTTTATTATCAAGGACAATAGAAGGATATTAATGTAAATTTAAAACCCTTTTGCCTCTTCTTGTTCCGATTTTTGCAAATTCAACTCTAATTTTGATGAGTCTTGTTCCCACTTCTTTTATGCTCATCCTCTCCTCAGGTGATTCTCTTGTACACTCCATAGCCAAACTCAAGATAGATGACAAACATTCCTCCTTGCTAGAGAAATGTTCATCATCCCTTCTTAGCAAATTTGTGTCCAAGACTTGCATCAATGTGCTGCATAATGATTCACCTACCCAACTCCTTAAACTCATATCTTCAGTAAATATTTCGTCCGTTGGCTTCTTCCTTGTAAATGTTTCCATTAGCATGATACCATAGCTGTACACATCTCCTTTTCTAGATACTTTTCCTTCTCTTCCATATTCTGATAGTGATCACATGCACTTTCATTGTTAGACTTATAAATCATTAATTTTGTTTTTCTTCTAGTAAGAAAAATGAAACAGTGCCAAAGACGACGTTTTAATGAAAAAAATAATTAAATTAGAAATGATTACCTGGCGCCATATAACCAATGGTGGCAAGGGTCTGTGTTTGTGTCATAGACTCTTCTTCACCTAAGAGCTTAGTGATGCCAAAATCACTTAAATGTGCAACCATGTTTTCGTCTAGTAGGACGTTGCTTGGCTTTAAGTCACAATGAACAATTGAGAATGAATAACCAAAATGGAGATATTCCAAAGCTGATGCAACATCAATCATTATATTCAACCTCTGTGAAATGTCCAAAACATTGTCGTTAGAATACAAACATTTCTCTAGGCTCCCATTTGGCAGATACTCCAATACCAGTGCTTTAAAATCATCGCTAGAGCAACAAGTGATGATTTTGACAAGATTTCGATGACGAATACGACTCATTACTTCACATTCAACTTCAAAACTAGTAAAAGCTTCTTCAAATTGCAGGTGGAATACTTTTACTGCAAGCTCCATGCCGTCACCAAGTCTTCCTTTGTAAACTGAACCAAAACTCCCCTTGCCGAGTAGGTTGTGCTCATTGAATCCATCTGTTGCTCTCACAAGTTCATGGTAAGAAATTCTTCTCCATGTTTCTTGTGGAGACATATCGATATTACTAGGTAGCTTTTTGTCCTTTTTGCGGCATTTCAGCAACACAAATAAAAGAACTAGCACAACTAATGTGACCGCAATGCTTAGTGACAAGACAATCAATAAGAGAACTTTTGATTTGCGATGAGTGCTACTTTTGCATGGTGGAACTTTTAGTTGGGGATCAAAACCACATAATGCAAGATTCCCCATAAATGAGTCACCCGAAAGATTTGCAAAACATCCTCTTGTAGGAATTTCACCTCTTAATTGGTTGAAAGACAAATTTAGATATTTGAGGTACAAGAGGTTCTCCAAAGACTTTGGAATAACTCCTGAGAGTTTGTTACTAGACAAATCCAAGAATTCTAAGCTTGTCAAGTGATCAAACATTTCAGGAATTGAGCCTGCTAATCTATTATATCCTAAAGAGAGATTTTGTAGATTTTGTAGGCTTCCGATAACAACTGGAATATTTCCAGAAAAAAGATTCCTTGACAAATCTATATTTATCGCAACCTTAAGATTTCCAATGTTTGATGGAAGAGATCCATTGAGATAATTTGACGACAAATCAAAGTACAAGATATCCTCAAGATTCCACAAAGTTGATGGTATAAAAGATGTTAACTTATTTGAACCTAAATACAATTTTCTCAGTGTGGTGAGATTACCTAAGCATGTAGGTATGGTTCCATGGAACTTGTTTCCCCCCAAATGCAACTCAGCCAATTCATTTAATCGACAGAGATTATTTGGGCTGAATCCTTCAAGTTTATTATTTTGAAGATACAAACGTTGGAGATTCTGCAATCCATCGATCGTAACTGGAATTGATCCAGTCAATTCATTGTCTTGTAATTGTAATTCTATCAAGTTGTTTAATTTTCCGATTTCTTTGGGAATGTTGCCACTAATATTGCAATCATTTATGTTAAGATATTCCAAAGAAATAGGCAAATTCCCTATTGAACTTGGAATGATGCTATTTAGTGGATTTTGGCCTAATCTTAGAACTCTTAAACTCTCGCAATTCGCCAAAGATGAAAGAAAGTTCATATCTAGAGTAGAAGATGTGAAGTAATTAGATTTTAAATCTAGTATCTCAAGATTTTTTAAATTACCAATTGTACTAGGAATGAAGCCTGAGAATGAATTATATGATATATCTAGCAAGGAGAGCTTGGAAGCATTGGTGATGAAAGCAGGAAACGACCCACTGAAATTATTACCGAACAAGGGAAGTTGCTCAAGATTTGGCAACTCTGCAGTTGATGGAAGAATTCCCGAGAGTTGATTGCCACACAGTGAAAGTATTTTAATTGTTGAGATGTTGAATATAGCAGCTGGGACAGGGCCAATTAGGTGGTTAAATTGAAGGACCAAACACTCCAGATTATGAAGATTGCCAATTTCGTATGGTACTTCGCCTGAAAATATGATAGCTCAATTAGTGAATTGGATTACAACAAAACGAAATTATTCTATTATAACATAAAAAACTGAGAGAGGTTTATCGTGTACCTATCAAGTGATTCTCACTAAGATATAGGTTCTTGATTAATGTCAAGTTTCCAATTTCTCTTGGAATACGTTCTCCGAATTGGTTATTGGACAACATAACAGAATCAAGCATTCTACATTGCCCCAAACTGTGTGGAATTGGACCAGTGAGTTGATTATAAGACATGTAAAACTCTTCAAGATTAGGAAGATGTTGGCACATGTTATCCAGAAGGCTACCACTTAGGCTATTATTTGAAAAGTCCATGGAAATTAAAGAAGAAAGATTGAAGATAAGCGAAGGAATAGTTCCCATTAAGGAATTATTTGCCAAGGATAATATCTCCAATTCTGAAAGTTTGCCCAGCTCTTTTGGAATTTCTCCTATAAAATCAATATGAAGAAGCAATATAATATGTTGTTTAGAAAATTTCTAAAAAGAAAATTTGTAAAAGCAACTAATCAAAAACAAGGTTCATTTATATCATACCTTGGAGTTTATTGTTATTAAGCAATAGCCGCTTAAGCTGAGTCAAGTTTCTGATTTCTTTGGGAATGACTCCTGTGAAATAATTGAAAGATAGGGACAAGATTTGCAATTTTTTGCATTTTGATAAAGCGGATGGTAATTTGCCCTGGAGCATATTAAAAGGCAAGGAAAAGAATTCCAAATTGGGAAGATTATAAAAAATGCTTTCAGGGAGTCCGCCAGATAATCCATTAAAACCGAAAGAAAGGTATTTCAGTCGATGTAAATGAGCCAACTCCTCAGGGAGAGAGCCATAAAAGCTGTTGTTCTTGATGACCAGCGTTGCAAGGAAAGATAGATTCCCTAGTTGAGGAGGAAGGGTGCCTGTGAGAGCCAAGTTAGAAATATTCAAAGCTGTGACTCTGTGGTGACGGCCAGCACAAGTGATGCCAGTCCAACTACAAACAGAGGTAGTTGTGGACCAATTATTGGCCAATAAATTGCTAGGATCATGGCTTATACGAGCTTTCAGAGCAAGAAGAGCTTGTTTGTCTGTGGAAATGTCGGTTACTTCTGCATTAACAAAGGAAAGTGTTGAAAAAGGAACTAAGAAAGCTAAGACAATGCAAAGGGAAAGGTTTCTCTCCATGAGATTAGAATGTTGTGTGGTTATAGTGCGGGCTTGGCGACATGTACAATTAAACCGGACTGATATTTATAAATATACAACGAGATGATTAATATTCTATTTTGTGTGACAACTTCATGACTAAGACTCTGATTTCAAGATTGAACTCTATTATCTCATTGGCCGAGAAATCAAATTGTTTTTGGTAAAGTGAGTCAATCAAAATTAGCTGTGATCCATCAAGCTATGAGACCGAAGACAATTTTGTTGAAGCCCTTATCAGAAAGGAGCAATCTTGATACAATAAAGAAAAACATTAATAATTCCACATAATTGGCATTGTCTAGTGAGCCAGCTGTTACAAGCTAGTCCCAAATTACATAAAAGAAAAGGGTTGGCGGCGTTGTTCCTGTTTATACATTAAGCAAGTCCCCATCTAATTTTTCTACAATTTGCCGTGGCAGTTAGGGCAAGAAAATATTCAAAACAAGCTGCTCCACGACTGACCGTGGGAATGTGTTGTTAGGTATCATATTTGAAAATTAGAAACTAAGTTGGAAATATTAATTGTACCCTCCAATAAAATTTTATACTTGTTTGATCTTGTGCCGCAACTAGTCAACTTAACAGGGGCCCAATTTGTATTGATGGACGACTATTGACTTGCATTTTATTTGAACTTTCTTTGAGTAGAATAATCTCTTAACTCTTCACTGTTTAGGTGATGACTAATTTGTTTTTCTGGATAACAATTCAACGTATAGCCAGTTGACTGAGTTTCTTTCTTTGCGTAGTTAAAGTCTTGTACTTGTTCATATAACATATTCAAAAAATGTTTAATTTAACCACAATGATATTGATATTGTACCCTATTGTAGAATATCTCTACTGTGGATTCAACTTCTTTCTCTCACTTCAGCATCAGAATTCAAACGACTGACTTATCAATTTCAATTTGACTTCCACTATCAGCGGCATTAGAGGACTGCAAGTTGTAAATACAAAGACTAAAATTAAAAGTGAAAAGAAAAGTGCTACTCTCGAGCGTTATTATTTCTACCATTTGAATTTTGGGGATTATACAGCTTGAATTTTCTATATGCAGCATTTCAGTTTGAGGATAAGTGGAACACATTTGTGTAAGACCTGAAATACATCTTAAAGCTAATTTCCAGCTGATTTAAAAGCTAATTTCTACCAATCACAGCGTCTACAATTTTCCATGTAAAAGCTAATTTCTAGACTTCTTATAAAATTAATCCGTAAACTTATGACTTTGAACACAGACTTATTAAATAGAGATAGTAAAAAGGAATATGCCATATTGATAACATATTACAAATTTGATGTTAAATGCCCCAAGCAAAACAATGAAAAATGCAAAGGCATTAGGGGTAACGTTATTCTTATAGCGTAAGTGATCCCAGACAATAAATGCATGGGTTTAGAGGGCCTTTTCTAATTTGAAAAGAGTTAATGACATTTACCCACCCAAAGTTTGGCAAATCTACAAGTTTCCGCCTGTGGTTTCGTAAATTGCAAATTCAAAACCAGAACTTTCAAGCGTAACGTGTTGATGGAAAGTATTACCTATTAATTGACTGATTGCTTCCTTGTTGATTTGTTAATAAAGATTCAGTCGAAACTGATGCTACTCAATTACATCTACCCAAAGTTGATTTATTTGAAAGCTGGAAAAAACTACAGTATTTCACTATTTTATCAATGGGCAACCATAGGAATTCACACTTTAAAGAGACATTTTTTTTTTTTAATTTTTGTTCTGTTTTCTACGTTTATGTTATGGAATAGTCAACTCCCTTTTCCAGCACCTTTAATGATTCTTTCCATATTCTGTTTTCTGTATTTATGTTATGCAATAGTCATATCCCTTTTCCAGCAGCTTTAATGATTCTTTTCATAAGTTTAAATAAGCTTAAAGCAAAATCCTAAAATTTGAGCTTAATGAGTTGCTGAATGATAATTTTCAATCAAATGCCTGGTGTTATAAAGTTATGTTCTTAGTATGATTATAAAGATGGTCATATAAATGAACACTAATAGAAAAGAAAGTATTCATATAAATTATAAAGATGGTCATCACTCGTCAGACCGAGAATAACTTGGCATATCTCTTGTTTAATTAAAGGTACACAATTCCTAACACAATACATGAATATAAATCCATAAAACACAAGACTCTCAAACTCAGTATTACCATAAACATATTTTGAACGACTTTCTCTCTCAACTTATTCTTGGAGACACAATTTGTTGAGCTACAACCGAATGATATCTCAGCTGGAATTGAATAGAGAATAATTTTACTAAGACCCCACAATATCTCATCTCAATTACGACTTCTCGTCATTGAGGGCTTTGCTATATGGTGGCAGCGGCGGAGGATCCGGCCCTGGATAATTCTGAAGAAGCCGCCTTGCTGCATGCGTGCACCATAAGTTGAAAACATGGTTAATTATTATAATATCAATATATATGAGTGAAATGATAATTTCACAGAGCTTTATTGTAGTATTTGGACTCGAAATTACAATGTTGCGTTTGGAAGTGCAAGAGAGGAGAAAAGTACAGAGAAAAGAGATCGAGGTTGAATTATCAGTGACTTAGTTTTCCTCCTATGCGTATTCTCTTAAACTAGTATGTTGGTTAATAAAAGAAAATTGATAGCAATTACTTACCGAATTTAAGTAGTGGGAGTGTATCATCAAATTCAGAGGCTGCAGAAGCCAACTGAATAGACATCATGAGAAATATGATAGCTACAAAAACTACCACCATTCCAACTTGGGAGGACTTAGCAGGAGCGATTTTTGCCATTGTCAAAATGAAATATAGGCGCAATGTAATTAACAACTCAAGAAAGAGAGGCAAGAAAGGATTGAGAAATGGCGAGTATAACTTGAAGCTCAGTATTTATAGACAACAACAATGTTATATTTTAATCAATAATTATTAATTGAGTAATGCGAGGTTTACTCACTCCTCCTACTCACTTCTTTTACTTACTTTTGTAAATATAAAAAATAGTAAATGTACTATACACATAGTATGAGTATCATATGTCATTTTAACAAAAGTGAGTAGGGAGAGTGAGTAAGACTAGCATTTTTCTTACTAATTAGATGGTGACGCAAATGAGTCTTAGTTAATTTGTTGGTAAAACGACAATATGATTGTATGAAAGTCAGGTGAATAATTTCTAATATACTTCCTTCTAATTTATAATTACTAGAAGATGTTTCGCCCAAACGAAAATTATATAAAACTGCATGATTTATTCCTTGTAATATGTGTGAAATGGCTTAATAAACTTAATTATTTTGGCTTTAACCCAATAATTTACTTAAAACCTCTAGATAAAGTTAAAGGAAAAGGGTAAACATTTCCCTTGTTTCAGTTAATATATATATTGTTGAAATAAAGAAGACTTTGACCTGTTAGAGGAAAAAAAAATTAAGAAACCTTGACATAACAGGGAAATTTTATCGAATTAAAAGAAAAAGGATTACACTTGAAAGAGGGGACGTAATGAAACTTAAAGAAAAATGCATGAGATACATGAAATTATATCAAATCAAAATTGAAAAAAATGATGTATGACATCAAGCAAAAACAAAATCGAAAAATACCCAATCTCATGGCGAAACAAAAACAAGCACAAGAAGAGTCTTGATGATCTCTAAAAATACCTCCACAAGCAGATAAACCAGGATTACCTTTCAAATAAGCCATCAATATGACCTTAATCCAACCTAAAGGGGCATAATGAGAGAAAAAATTTACCTAACTGGCTTTGTCCATTTCAACAAAAATAAAAATAGACTTTTTCTAACGAGAAGACCTAGAAAATTAAGCTGCTACTTTATTACTATTTCATTTTGTCACTACAATTCTTAAAAGGTTGTAATTCTGTCGTAAAGCTTAAGCTAGTGTTGTTATGTCATATTCCAACTCAATTGTAAGGAAAACAGGATACAATTTTGACTATAAAAAGTATTAGTAGTCATCATCAATTTTGCCGGAAAGAGTTGATTAATTTGAACCCATTTTTACTTTTTTATTTATTTTAATATAATACTATTAATATTCTTAGGGTTAATGAAACAAAGGATAAATTTCAACAAAGAAAATATCATAAAGTGTTCTTTGAGATTGAGGTTTTAAATTAAGTAGAAAAGAAATATCCACAGATACTTTAAGATCTGTGTTTAAATATCTTTAAAATGCATTCGATTGTTTATTTTTAAGGGGTTAATTCTATTTTCTAAAGTGTTATTTAATTAATCCCTAGTATGATCTCTTGATTTGCATCCACGAAATCTGATAATTGCTATTATTTTTGGACAAATATTTGCATAACATATATGGTGTTTCAATTTATTTAAAACTTGATAGTGTAATAGGGTGCACTTCCCTGACCAAAGCCCCTTAGAATTACGGAGAAAATTCAATGATTCCTAAATGGGTGCAAAGACCTTGCATAAGCTTTGATGTAATAGCTACTGTATTGTCATATTCCTACTTAATCGTGGAAAGTTACGAAACAATTTTGACTCTCATTTATTTCTTCACCAGCCTCCATCACCATCTCCCTGTTATATATTATTTTTATTTACAATGTCACTATTATTAAAATCACAAATGAGGGACATTAATGAAACAAAGATAACTTCAACCTAGAAAGGTTCATAGACTGCCTTATGTGAGTTGATTGCTATTCTTTTTTTAAAAGTAGAAGGTGACGTTGCCAGTATACCATCTATAGATACTTTAAGACTTGTAAATGTCTTACCAAACGGGGTTTCTTGTTTGTTTTTGTTATTGTGACGTCTTGAAGTGGTGACGTTTTATGATTAAATGAAAACAACGTCGTTTTGAGCAAATGGGGAGTTGATTATGAGCATTGATTAACTGAAGATCCACTGGTTGGAAGAGTCCCTTGGTCAACCATATAAAAGCATACCAACATGGCAAATTGACAACTACATCGTTTATATCTC